TAGGTTAGGTTTGAATGGAAAGGAAGAAAAATCGTTTGGTTTGCTGGCAGGAAAATGTTCCTTTGCTTAGCAATAAAGTCAGTCAGTCATTGTGAAGCCTTTGTCAACAAAGATGCGCACACTTGGTATTATCGTGAAGCAAGCGGATGGAAAAAGCTTGGAATAAAAAAAGCTATTCCTCCACCCGATGTGTTTTATTCTTTAGGTAAGAAATATGCTTTCAGACGAGATTCAGAAATGGTCAACCATGTAACTGTATATTGCTTTGTATATAGGGAGATAGAGCCAAAAAACGAAAAACAAAAAATACTTTATTTCAAAGTATTTTTTTGCGAAAGTTTATATTTTTGGAGTTTTCTGACTTTATTACTTCAGGTTTGACTGTTAAGGTTCCTCTAATTTTTTCTTATGTCTTGTTGGGTTAGGTTAGGTTTAAACACAGGAGGGTCCAGCTGGATAGGAAGTTAGGTCAGGATTCTCTGGTTAGGTTAGACATGTATACTGATATTTGAGTTTCCTAACTCAGCTTCTTAACCTGGACACTGGCTAGGTTTGGTTTTATTAGCCTTTTGCCCCATAATTTCCCTTTACATGTACTTTAAAGCCCTGCCCACATTGTGAAAAGAAAAATGAAAAATATAAATTTCGATAAAATGCTATAGAACTACAGTATTAATATTATTTTTCTCTCCTTCCTTATATGCAAAGCAATGCATATTGAGTTCCAGGTTCTTCTCCTACATCTTTACCTTGTTTCTTTCTACAGATATTTTCCGTTACATAGGTACTTAACCCAAGGCCATGTCCTTAACTATTACCCATATTTTTCTTTAAATTCTCATGAGATAATACAGCTTTATCTTTTACAGACAAATTTCCTCAAGTTGGTTGTTTCGGTACAATATTGTCTTCCAGTATTACCATAATATCCATAGCTATAATCCCCTTTTACTAACAATGTTTTCAAGTCAATATTTGGTGTTTTCAATGTCAGAATTTCATCATTGTGGAGGAAGTGTGCCTCAGTAACGTTAAGCTACAGAGAGAGTCCTATGATACTGCTACTGTACTTCCTTTACTGACAAATACTCTGGCAGTCACTAAACTACATTTCTTCTCACCTCATGAACCAGTGAATAAGGTCCTCACTTATATCATGGTTTTACTCTATTTTTACTGACAACATCTCTTTTATCTCATTCTGCCATCACTAACGACCTGCTAACTACCTGTAACAATGACCAGTTTACCATCACGGTGCTGTATGTCCGTCAAGTTGAACTGTCTAATAGTGAAGAAGATTTATTATTATTTTTTTTTTAAGTTTTATCACAAATGACAGATATTATAGAGTTAATTAACTTACCTCGTGACTCTGTTATATACACTAAGAGTTTATCACACTTGAGTCTTGACGAGTGTTTGTTTACCTTTGGTCGCCAGTGCCACCTTGCGGGTTCCATCACAACTAACAGCCTCATTTATTTTCCAGTGATTGAAGCCCACTATCCCTTGAGACTGACGTAACTAACGGGTATAGTCCTTATTGACATATACAGTATTCTAAAGTTTACTGTACAATATCCAGCTAAACTAACCCTACCAAATCATGAATAAAATATTTTACATAAAGTCACGTTTGGTTAACTTTGGAAAAGTGTATTTTTTGTTTTTTGTTTTAATTCCACAAGAGCAAAGACAACCAAACTTATTCTATGTTAGTTTAAAGTGAACTGTATGGATTCTGTTAGATTTGACAAGGAATTTTTATATAACTTGTGTCGCACAGTCCCGCCAACCACTAGTGACAGTGGCCTTCCATAGCTGGTTCACACAAGTGGCTGCTGTCTGCTTCACTTCTTGAAAATATTTCTTGTTTCACCTTGAAATACGAAGGTTTTTTTCTGCTTTCACGATTACAATGTTCATTAAATATCAGTCGATTGTGGTGGAACGCTCACAGCTTTAATGAAGCATACAATATTACCTTCTGTACTCAAGTTTAATACAAAGTATATTTTTATTTCAATCGACACAAAAGTCACTTGCAACACTCTGAACACTCATATTTTACTTTTCTTACTAGTTAACAGTGCCTTTAATATGATATATGTATACATAGTCCATTTATACATAATGTGTTGGCACGGTCTGGCTGTCGCTGGCCACACTAAAACAACAAATATAATGAAAAATAATAACAAGCAGTGGTACTGACGGTCCACCATACAGGACTCAGGTGTTGCCTCAGACGTGCATGTCGGGAGTGTCATCATGGGTGTAGGACGTGGGGGAGAGTTGGGTGTCAACGTGAGGGTTGTAGCTCAGAGCTTGTCTCTGCACACCACGTCGGGATGCTGTGCCATTATGGGGTTGACCCGCCCCCGGCATCAAGCACTGGCCTCCTGGGGCGCAGAGAGCACCGTCTTCACCACTCTGGCAGCTGCTGGTGTAGTCCGGTGGCCACTCGTGCTGTGGGTCACCCTCGAAAGATGTGGCCAGGCTACTGCGCAGCGTTGCTGAAGAGCGCAGAGTGCCATAGTGTGAGGGCGAGATGGGCTTACAAGGCTCACATGTAGGATGAAGTTGGACATCGTTACCACTGTCGCTGCTGCCGTCGTGACTGGCTTTGCTGAACGCCTGGCGAGAATTGTCTCGACGGTAATAGACGGCAGCAAACACCAGCAAGTTTAGAATCAGAAGGGAGCAGCCGATGGCAACAGTGAGGCTGAGAGCAGTGGTGTATGGGAAGCCACCCTGGAACTTTGGATTACCGTCAATGTTCTCCAGAAGGCCGGCGACGCTGCTGGAGTTGACGATGACCATTTCGGTGGGTCGCAGGGTACTCTGTGTGGTGGTGGACACCTGCTGGGTAGTGGGTGGCTGGGTGGTGGGCGGCGGGAGGAAGTTACTAGACAGGTTGGTGGGGCGAGTCGGTCCTGAGAACGTGTCGGGCTGCAGGTAGTTAGGTAGCTTGTGGAAAGGAGAGTCAGGGCCGTAGCGAGAGCCAACCCTCTCCAGCCCTGGCACCAACCAAGACCACAGTGCCACACGACCTGCGCGGTAGTGGTCACGCACACGACCACGACCTCCTGCAGAAGGTTTGATTGATTAATGTACAACCTATAAATAAATGTACAATGTACAAGCCAAACACGAGCACTAAACGTCTATTATGCACGATGGAAACTTCTTCAAGGATTGTAGGATCTGATGAATAATATTAAATTGAGAGAGAGAGAGAGAGAGAGAGAGAGAGAGAGAGAGAGAGAGAGAGAGAGCTGATATCTCACCAAGGTCCAGATATCTCCTATGAACGGGGTCATAGCTGGCCCACTCTTGAGAACGGTAACGTTGCTTGTCCCGGGGTGTGTCCCAGGGCTCCCCGGTGCCGCTCTCGTTCGGGTTCCTGAGAGGCGGGTGACAACATCAGATTCGGTTAGGTCCACGAGAAAGAAACATCAATATAAGTACAGATTCCGGTAATTAAAGTATAGGTTAGGTCAAGTTAGGTCACCAATACACATCCCTACTGTACCACCACTTACCCAGTCTTGATAAAGTTGGTCCACATAGTGATGACCGCCTCACTTAGGGCCACCTCCGTGTTGGTGAAGTTGAGGCCAGCTGACAAAGGGCCCAGTGACCCCAGCGGCGCCCCGAATACGTACACTAGCTCGTTGAGGGGCATGTCAGGTCCAGTCTGTTTATGAAGGAAATTAGCCTTAAAAACATATATTAAACACACGGTGTTATTGTCTGATCGTTTATTAATGATGCTGGACTATGTACAGAGGACGTGTTGTGGCGTAGAATGAAATTAACTGATAGGTGTTTAACTACTTTAGTACATCGACTATAGCACAAAACACCAAAGATTGCCATTGAAAAATAATTAATTAAAATTTTCCAAGCGTAATTAGAACAATTACCCAAATATCAAAATTTCTAACCGCAGTTCCTTAATCAGCGTGTTCAGGAATATGTATTGAGATTGAGAAAATAAACAAAATATTCGGGATTACGGCTAAAACGGTAAGCCTTTAGCCCCGCGACAATCAGAATCTCAACCTCTCACTGCAGCTTAAAGACGGTTTGCTTGGCCACTCTCACCAGATTCATTGTCTTCATCTTTCCTCATTATACAATTAGGGAGTATTAGAGGCATAAGAACAATCATAATTCATCTCATTCTCTTCTTCTTCTTCTTCACATCTTTGTCCTGATGGTAGTAAAAGTTTTTCAAGCAAATGAGATTATGATTCCTTCTTACTCTCTAATTACTCATTATCTCTCACTGTCTAGCTCTGAGGGGGAGGAGGAGTAGGGTGGCAGGAGAAAGAGGAGGGTGGCAGGAGAAAGAGGAGGGTGGCAGGAGAAAGAGGAGGGTGGCAGGAGAAAGAGGAGGGTGGCAGGAGAAAGAGGGAGAGGAGGAGGAAGAGGATGGCTAACCAAACCTTATATATAAGGTAAGGTCCTTAAACGCATTGACTAGATTAGTACGTACACTAGTTATCAATAATTCATTCGTTAACATAATCATATCCCAATACAGTACTGTTTTTGTTTTTCATGCACTCAAAAACTCTAAGTTTCTTGGCGGTAAAGTATCTCAGTAAGTGTGTGTATAAGACTTTACATGATGTTGGTGGTACAGCGGTAACTCGCATAATTCTCACTAATGTCAAGGATTCAAGCCTCGACCCGGACACACGCGAGAAGTGTTTGCCAGTGTGACCCTCACTAGTCACTACCACAGGTTTCCCGGTTCTTGGTTTCATCCTATTCTAACACCGGATAGACCGCCTAAACGGCTAGTAAGGTGATAAGTTGACACTTCTCTAAGCTGTGACCTCTAGTGGGAGGGATATGAAAACTCGACTGAGTAATGTCCTCTGAGGTCACCCCTTGCCGCCTATAGTATATGTTTTATAGATATTTATATATTGACGTCTGAATAATATCCACAGAAATATCGTTTCTCATAATTCTAAATTTGACGAAGCTCAGTGCAGTAATATCATTATAGCTGACCTCACCCTAACTTTAACCTGCGTTGCAATTTTCATTAAGTAAACACGATTATGAAATTATCACCATAGTTTCAGCAACAGAATAGTACAGTATGTGGAAACAGAACCAGAAACGTAATTGATTATTGAAATTAACGAATGCATTCCTGTGCGCGAGGTGTGTGGGGGATGCCTCGACCACACTGGGGATTAAGCGATCGATTTGCTGTCATTAATGAGTAATGTTTGGGTACGCAGACCCACTAGTAATCTAAAACTTTGATTTATGGTTGTACAATAGCTGTCCCAGGCAATATATTTCAAAAGTTTTCAGAATTTCCCATCTTCTATCACTTAGGGCGCCTGGACTCTAAGGGGTGAAACTCATAACTTATTTCTGGGTATCGTGTGTGTGTGTATACTAGACCCTTTGTCCAACTGCTACTTCAACTTTCTCCAAAATATAACACATACACAGAGCCACAAGAGAAGATATATTAACGAGGTCAATAGTCTCTCAGTGATCAGTAAGTTGACCTGGTGCCTCTATTAGCAGCGTAGCTCACTTTTAATGTTGGGAATACTTATTATTAATGAATTATTTTTGACACACAAGTGATTTATCTTTACATATGGTTCTTGTGAGATTAATTCCTCCTCTACAAGTGATTATTTTAGAGACTTTATGATTATAGTCAAGTAATCAGCTATAATTTCGATGTTTTTGGGCAGTAACCGATGGAGAGAGAGAGAGAGAGAGAGAGAGAGAGAGAGAGACTCTTCGTCATGTTATTTTCCCTCTTAAGATTAACGACAGGTAAACACATAAACTAATGGCTTTACGGACGCTCTGGCACTACACTTTTACCTTCTCGGATAGAATCATTAATACTGACATCTAAATCTGCCTCTTGCGATTTAATCACACAAATACACATGTTATATAATCTTACCTTAAAACTTAATTTAACCTAACCTTAGCTAATCTACCCTAACCTAACCTACCAAGGGGTCAGGTTCGTCAGGTCGGTAGTCTAAGACGTAGAGATAAGACGACCTGGCCAGAGTATGGAGCTGGTTGGCGGAGACGGTGACGGGGGAGACGAAGGAGGCATCGTGTATCGCCTCTGCAGTCAGGTCCCGGATGTTGACTGGGTGCTGGACGGGTCGTGACCAGTCTGTGTACTCCGCTGTGATGGCCAACACGATCTCCTGCAACACAACACATAAATGTAACGTCTTATTTAAACACATCAGTAACACGCATAGTTTACACCGCGTAATTACCACAGCAGGTAAGTCTCATAGTTTAAACCACGTAATAATCACAAATACCACACACAAGACAGTTCACTTATACAGTACACTAAGGTTTCGTTAACGGTTTCTGCCTACCCTTTCATCTGTTAATTCTTCTCTCTATTGTATCTTGACTTACGTTTACTCACATAACAATTTACTATTCAACACACACACACACACACACACACACACACACACACACACACACACACACACACACACAGTTTCCTCCCTTCACTCTCACGCCTCTACAAACTCGCTCTCCCTCCTCCGCTCAGTACACTGGTCTCCTTATAATCCTCTCCACTTATACTGCTGGTAAACAAGTGATCCACATACACACACACATATACGATCGAGTCCCATATAACCTTCCCCTTCTGGCTCATCCTTCAATATGGCACTTGTAATCCTTCTATATCCTTCACTCTCCCTCCCTTTCTCACGGTACTGATCCCTTTCATGGTTTAAATGTATATTCCTAACTCGTTTGTCTTTTCTTTTGTGGCGCCATTACGATGTTTATATTCAACCTTTTCGGTGTTAACAGGCCAACCTAATGTATCCCCCCCCCCCCACCTCAACCTCATCCCCTGGACACTCTATATTCTGGGGGTTAAGCTGGCAAAGCCTATATTACAATACTCTCCCCAGGTTAGTTAATCCCCTAAGATGCCTAGAATTCAGTAAATCCACCTCTTCCTTCTCCCCCTGGGGTGCTTAAAGTTCAGTTGATCGCCTTGGACGTTAGGTTATTCCACAAACACTAACTATATATGTCTTTGGTCTAATTTTAATATCTATCCTTGGTTAATCCCTTCTAGGCGTTTTAACAAGTTGTCTTTTCCTCCCGCGCGCCGCCCCATAAATCACGCCATAACCTATATTCTTCATAGTCTCTCACTCCTTCTCAGTCAGACGGCCTCCATCAACATCTTTATGGCCTGTGTTAAGTAGCGTGGTGCTGTTATTATTATTATTATTATTATTATTATTACTGTTGTTGGCATTATTATTAGTTATCTTAATTACTATTATTATAATTACTATTGTTGTTATTGTTGTTTTTATTATTATCATTACTAAAACCAAAACTGTAATGAGGGCAAAAGACCCACGACAAACAGACGAAGAAACAATGTAATCCTTCAGGTATTTACTCTCAGGTGTTAAATAAATAAACTGAGATACCTTGGTCATGTGTACACGAAGGCTCTTCCATTTACATATTTCATTAGAGGTCTAGCGTGAAATGCTCATGCTCATTTGCAGGCAGTGTTAGCGGAGCATTTTCCCTAATGATACGGTCAACAATAGGCAAACATTTCCAGGTACTTGGGCTTAAAGACCTTGAAATAACATCTCTTGATAAACAGTGGACTGTAAATGAAGATTATTATGCTGGGTAATAGTCTACATGTTTGTTACGTCACAGTGTATTAAAGGGAAATATTTTATATAATAATAATAATAATAATAATGATAATAATATACTATGATCACTACGAATAATAACAATGAAAACACTACTACTACCACAGCTCCCAGTGGGGGCGTGGTATCCCAGAGGAGTTCACAGGCTAGACTGAGGCTCGGTTCTTCTGTTCTGGGGTATTTATGTCCATTACACTATCACAAACTCCGGGCTGGTTCACGGCGCCAACACCCTGACTGGTCCAAAAGCTCTGGGTTGGTGAACTTGCAAGCCTCCGTCCCTGACCGACAGCAGTTTAGCCCCTTAGATAGAAGATCGCTCCACACTCAGACGATTTTATTCAGCTCAGACACCGTAGTTATAGTCCATCAGGTACTGTAGTTATAGCCCCTCAGACACCGTAGTTATAGTCCACCACAGTAGTTATAGCCCATCAGACACCGTGGTTATAGGCTACCACAATAGTTATAGCCCACCACAATAGTAGTCTATCTTTAAGAAATCCGTAAATTGTCCCCGAGCGCCGCGTCTCTTGATCAACAGAATCGATGAAATTCGTTTACAGGTAACGACACAGGAGCGAGTTGTCTGGAATTGTAGTGAATCTGTTACGTTTAGTTCATTAGGAAATGTTTCCGAGCAAATTACAGTGCGATTAGAGACATGGCAGGATACACAGTCCAGGGGCTCCTCAATCAAACAGTTTTATACAACGATGAGAAATTCCTCGGTCTAAATTTGTCTCCTCGCGACCATTTTTGTTCTATGACCGTCTACTAGCGTTATATCTAGCCAATATTTCGTGTTGTGTGTCATTTTGTCTTCTAAGAATGAGTAAGTGTACAGTGTTTCATGTTCTGTCACCAGAAACTACTTTGATATTATCATTTATATACTATCATTGATACAGACATACGTAGCCTCGTCACACACACAACAGATGGCGTTCTTTTCCATATTGTTCCTGTGTTCAGTGTCCAAACTGGATAACAATTCCTGGCTGCTCCTCTGAGGAGCCAGATTAGCTTTTTACCACTATGAATATTTCCTAAACTCAGTTATCACACACACAGAGGCCAACATTTTCACAGGAAAAAGAAACAGAAGTGAGCTTCCCAAACTCCCGACCAGCGCCAACATGCAACACAAAAGCCAAAAACCTGGAGGATTTCATTGTGGAGGAGCAGGACGGCGGCAGTAACCTAATTGGGACACTCTGGGAACCAGCATGTGGACATCCCCACTCCACCTCCCATGCTGCCGATGGTTAATCAATTCCTGACACATTTGCACTCTGTATACTCCCGCCCCCCGCCAGGCCTGCACCCCGCTGCTCCGCCTAGCATGTGTGTCTGGATTTTTGTCGCCTCAATATTGTTACGACAAATACTTATCAACACATCTCGTTTAGTTTACATGGTCTAGTGAAACGTTGTATTTATATCAATATTATTGTTAAGTAATGGTCTTTCTGCCTCTATGTTAAGTGTATTATTGAACTGTAAGATCGTCTGTTGTAGGTAAAGCAAAGACGATAATTCTCAGTGCAGCAGCGTTTGTCTCGGCGATGTGAACAACAGAAAACGCATCATTATTGTCACCTAAAATGTGCTATGTAAACTCTCTCGGTATTACGAGAAAATGGCAGTGAAATAATTTAGTTCAGGTACTTACGGATTTATACGTAATCACAATTAATTAGTATGTAGAAACTAAGTCAAATAAGATGTAAATTCAAAACTTATTTACACTTGTTAATTACACTCGTACAATTATCTCGTATTCATAACATAGACACATTATTTAATGCAGGTATATCAACTGTCAGTGTTATTAAGCGCTGTAAACTATGCTTACCCTAGTAACCAGCTGTCCCTTGAGCATTACCCTTCATACCAGCAGTCCTTTGAGCACTACCCCCTTACACTCAAAACAGCAAAAGTTATCTGCACGGTTCATTACACAATTTTCACACCTTTCACCATTTTTACAGCCTCGTGTGGATTTCTGTGAAGATTCCCTCCCCTCTCCACCACTCTCCCCCCCACGTCCCTCCCCTCCCCCCCACTTCCCTCCCCTCTCCCCTCCTCGGTTCATCTCCCAGGTCTTAATCTCGTGTATGATTCGTCGAGGTTTCTCGTCGGTGTAGCAGTCATCAGTCTTAGTCATCCCGCCGACAAACTTTTACTAAAATCACACACACACACACACACACACACACACACACACACACACACACACACACACACACACACATGTTTTTCCCCACAACTTGGTGAAACATGTGTGGGTAAAAGGTTGATTGGCCAATTATCTTCATCTTAACACAAAACTTAGAGTCGTTCTTCTCTTTATTTTTATTTTCTTGACATCTAGATCGTTACTTTTCATCTCTCCTCCTCCCCTCCCCCTCATCTCTCTCTACTCACCTCTCACTACTCTCTCTCTTCACCCTTTCCTCCTTCTCCTCCACCTCACCCTTCCTCCCCCTCTCACTCATCAACCCTCACCCCTCCTCCTTCTCCACTCACCACTCCTCATCATTATCCTCCTCCCTCCTCTCCCTTTCCTCGATTCACCCTCACCTTCCTCTCCTCCTTTCCTCGCACCACCCTCACCTTCCTCTCCTCGCACCACCCTCACCTTCCTCTCCTCCTTTCCTCGCACCACCCTCACCTTCCTCTCCTCCTTTCCTCGCACCACCCTCACCTTCCTCTCCTCCTTTCCTCGCTTCACCCTCACCTCCCTCTCACCTCGGAGCAGAGGCAGTTCACGGAAGCTCTCGTGTTGGCTTATATTAAAGTTTATACCGAGAAGGCGAGCTGTACCAAGATGCTTTTAGTTCATTTTGTTTCTTGTCAAGTCTCTTCCGAATAGTCCAGGGCAACTTTCTCTCTCTTTGTCTCTAAGTCTCAATTTCATGTAATGTTAAGCTCTCAGGGTGGGGGTGGGGGTGAGGAATGAGGGGGTAAGGGTGAGGGGTAGGGGTGGGGAGTAAAGGGTGAGGGTGGAAGGGAAGGGTGGAGGTAGAGTATGATTTCATTATTGTAATTCATTCTGTCTGTCGTTTACTCGCTTTTAACCACAATTGTTGAGAGTTACCTCTCTCTCTCTCTCTCTCTCTCTCTCTCTCTCTCTCTCTCTCTCTCTCTCTGTCTGTCTGTCTGTCTGTCTCTCTCCTTGCTGTATGAAAGAATTCCCAGCAACTTTTCTAAGTGGACAAAACTCATTCACACTCGAGGGCTTCAGATACACTCTTGTCTTCCCTGATGCTTGATGTGTGTTGGTCTAAATGTGTCAAATGTACCTATCACACTATATCTTATATCTATATGTAACTGTAATTAGATACGTAAAAATATCTATAATTTCGTTAAAGTTATAGGTGTTTGTGATGACAATTTAGTCTTTATATATTAGGTTGGTTAGGAATGACAATTGGTTATAATTTACGAGTGATATAACCAAACCACACAAGTATTTAACGTGTCCCGTGTGACCTGACCTTATTCATTCCCAGGACAGGTCAACTCTCTGGTCATGAATGTTACTTATTGCATTAACTGACTGTAAACCCACAAATGACTGTCAGGTTGATACAGTCATTTCCATCTAGTCGTCCCAGTGGAAGAACTCAAGTGACGTATTAACCCAGAGAACTGAGCTTGGCCGTCTGTTGCCGTGACAACTAGCGGGTTATTATATTTTTTTTCCGGTGGGTCAAAAACATTTCCCTGACGTGTGTTTATGAATTCTTTCTATGACAACCTTTCAAAAAACAACAACAATACAACCATTGATACAAAGACAAAAAACAAAAACATTTATTTAATAATAACATAAGAACCCATTATAAATATAACAGCGTAGTGTATAAACTTTGTGGATATAAGAGAATTTTAGTGAAAAGTTGAATGTTTTGTGTCTCTCTTTATAGAAAATTTACCTTAGTTATTAAATGGAGAGAGTCATCATGAAGGCGTATGTAAGAGCAGGGGAGCAACATATACTTAACCTATGCGATAAACTGCAGGTGTATTAAGTCACAGAAAGACGATGAACCTGCCAGCCCGATACTGAATTAATGCCTCGACTAATCTCATTACGATCCTGTTGTAGTAATTGGGAGGAGAATGAGAGAGGCAGGAGTTGGGTGATGCTGATGAATGCAACTTGTGGCCACGGGATTAGTGACAAGTGCATTTAGGTTAGGTTAGGTTGTGTTGAGTTGGGTTGGGTTGGGTTGGGTTGGGTTGGGTTGGGTTGGGTTGGGTTGGGTTGGGTTAGTCTCTTATGCACATGCTTAATCCTGGTGTATAATTTTAACCTTAACATCATAAAGGTTAAACACAGCTCCTCGGGTCGTCTTCAACACTTCAAATGGTTTAATAATTACAGTCACACGTCGTTCTAGCGGGGTTAATTAACACTGAACCATCTATTTACAGGTGCTGTCGGTCTGAAGAACTGTTAATGACTTGCCTGTTGATCCAGCCAGTAAGTGATGGTGAAACAAGTAACAGTAAGTCTCACACTCAGGTGGTAATGAGACAGGTGACAGCAAGACTCACCTGTAGATGGTAGCGATAGTTGTTAGTGACGAAGGTACGTAGAAGACGGTCTCGGTGGTCCGCCTCGAAACCATGTTGGATCTCAGTGTCGCTAAATACCTGCAGGAGATCAGTGGCGGTGATCCCTAGTAGCAGGTCAACAGGTGTACGGCCTTCCTGACCTACGGGCGGTGAGGAAGGTTAATACAGGCTGGGCGTAGTTGAGTAAAGACGAGAGTATTATAATTAATTTTTTTTATGTTTTCGCTGTTAAGTAAAGACGGAAATAAATAAGGGTAATATTTTCCTTAATAAGCAAAGACGAAAAAACAACAACAACTGAATTATGTTGTCATGGTTAAATAAAAATAAATAAATTGCTTAATGTTTTTGTCGATAAATAAGAAACCAATGAAGAAAAGAACTCAGTATTGTCAGCTGGTGAATGAATGAAAACAAAATACGAAGCCATAGTTTGTCCAGGGAGCAAGTATGTAAAGTAGGAGTTGGGTAGAGTAGCCAAATGTTGATGAGTGACGCGGGAAAATGAAATGTTTTAACCATAAGAGAGATACATTAGCATTTACAGGGACGAGGAGACCAGCTACAAAATGTTTATCGTTTCAACATTTCTCTCTCTCAGTCTCGGGGCATTGATGTGACTCTGGAATGAAGTGAGGGAGAATTATTTTTTTTTGTAAGTATCACAACAACACAGACACATACAGACATAGACACGGGACACAGACACACACAAAAACACTCACCCATTTTAGCGTGTTGTTGTTTCCAGTCCAGCCTGATGGTCACGCCGTCTATACTGGGTCCAATGGCTGACAGGAACTGGGGTGTTTCAAGATCCACCTGGGGAGAGAATTACCTGATAACTCACCTGTAAGGCGGAGGGGGAGAGGAGGGGGGAGGGTAATGGTGGGAGGTTGAGGGAGGTAAGGAAGGGGAGGACGGAGGTTGTGGGTGAGAGGGTGGGTGAGGGTGGGGAGAGGAAGGGGTGGGACGGTAGGGAAAGTGAGGGAGGAGGAGGAGAGAAGTTGAGGGTAGGTGAGGGTAGGGAGAGAAGAAGAAGAAGAAGAAGAAGAAGATCCAGTTAACAAACAAACAGCTAATTCACTACCTTAACAACATTTAGTCCACCTCAACAATTAAATACGTAAAGTAAGAATAAATAAAACTGAATTACAAATTATAATTCAAATATGCAAATGAAGGTAACTAATTAACATACAGAGAGATAGTAAATATCCCTTTAAATAATAAAAATAATTAAGCCCCATTAACTTAATAACTTTTAATAATAACATGACGTTTAATTAAGAGAATTGAGAAACCTTAAGGAATATTAAATCATAATATATAATTCAAATATGTTAATTATAATTATAGAGATACAGTACAAATTAATGTTTATTTTGATTGATCTTTGAATTCAAAGCTGGAAAATCACAGCGCCAAGAGTTACTGTGGATAAATTTAAACCACAGCGCCAAGGGATACTGAAGCTTACCTAACCTATTCTCAGTAACCTACTCGCAAGACCTGGTCGTCGGTACATAACCTCAACGACGGTACAAAGACCTACCTGCAGAATCTGGTCGACGGTGCGGTCTCGGAGGCAGTGAAGAAGAGCCTCAAAGTGCCGGTAGAGGTCGTCTGGGACTTGACAACTGAGCTGACGAGCAGCCTGAACAGCGTAGTATACGGGTTCCTGTACGGCCGCCCAGGGACTCAGCGCTGACCCGGACATAAGGATGGCTCGCTTAAACAGTCCCGCGCCTGTGTCAACAATAGGAGGTAACGTGGACGATAAATGGGAGGAATGATAGATAATATCAGGGAATAAACACACACACACACACACACACACACACACACACACACACACACACACACACACACACACACACACACACACACACACACACACACACACACACACACACACCGTGTTTGTACATTTACTGTAATAACAATACCAACACAACAAAACTCTTTCCTCTAGCCAATAAGAGCTGAAGTTATACACAGGAACCCTCGCTCTCTACACTCTATATATTTCTCAACTGTATGTAAAATGTTGTTGTTAACTTGGAATACATTAATATACTGTAAACATCATAATAACATTAGTATTTCCTAACATTTAATGGGAATTTTGTCTAAAAGGATTTATTTATTTTAGAATTTTGTGTTCGTATGATGATAACATCGATTACTATATACAATTATGGTTGGTTTTTGTAATTTCTTTAATGTTTATATATTTTTAATGTTTTAAATTTATTGGTATTGAAATTTATTTAATTTTCACTTAATATTGAAGTTTTTAAAAGTTTAAATAAGGTATTTAATTGAGTCTATATAATCCTTACTACCACCCTCCTCTTCCCTCCTCTCTCCCTTCCCCCAACACACCTTCCCTTACTCCCACCCTCCTCTTCCCTCCTCTCTCCCACACCTTCCCTTACTCCCACCCTCCTCTTCCCTCCCTCTCCCACACCTTCCCTTACTCCCACCCTCCTCTTCCCTCCTCTCTCCCACACTTTCCCTTACTACCATCCTCCACTTCCCTCCTCTCTCCCTTCTCCCTCCATTTTCCTCTCCTCCTCCCACCTTCTCTCCCCCCTCCACCCCCACGTTAGGGTAATAGACGATTATCAAGAGAGAGAGAAAAGTTGATTTGCAATTTCCTCTGCAACCTGACAATGAACCGCTACTCATTAATGGCAGATTGTGACTCCTCCCCTTCGTTCAGTCGACCTCCACCACCAGTGACACGTAAAATAAATGATCCTGTGCTGTGTGGGGGAAGGTAGGAGGGGGAGGGGGAGGGGGAGGGGGAGGGGGAGAAGAGGGGGAGAGGCGGGAGCTCTAATTACTCTATTTTAGGTAAAAATTACTTACCACTACAGTCTCTCTCTCTCTCTCTCTCTTGTCTTTCCTAACATAGACAACACTTTCCTTCTGCCCAGGGGTCAACCTTACCGTCACGCCTCGAGGGATGTTTTTTAATACGTGTCTCAGAGTTTAAATATAAACAGGAGTAAACATTACGTGACTTGGATATAGTGGGATTAAGTGAGTAGTTTTATCTCGGGGTTGTAGTAATGTCTTGTTCGTCGTCTTCAGTTAACGTGATTGATGTTATGAGTTGTGATTGAGGTTGTGAGTTATTCATATTCGTGATTTATATATTAATTTTTACAGACTAGTTATGAGCTGTGGTTGATGTTTTGAGTTATTTAAATTGGTGATTTATATATTATTTTTTTTAAAAGTAGTTACGTGCTGTTGTAAATCAATCGTGTTGCCGTAGACACAAGTGATTCAGGTTATAGTAATGGAGGGAACCCAGAGCGATAACAGATTTCAATCTCACCTTATGATAAAAAAAATCAGTTTCCAGAATAGATTAGAGAGAGTTGACGCCCTGGTGGTATACGGGATATATTTTTCCAGCTATTGTAGATGTGTGTTGGTAGGGGTGATGTTGTGACCCAGAAATAAAGAAAAAATGAAAAACAAGTGAGAAATCAAATTATAAACTTCAGGTAAATATTATAAGGCTCAGGTAGAATATTAAGGGAGACTATTATATAACTCAGGTAAAATATTATAAACCTCAGGTAAAATAAGGTAAAAATTTCACTTTAATGATATTTGGTTTAAGTTAAGTCATTGTTCTTGTTTCTGCTTTTATTCCAGAGAGCGAGAGAGATATGAAGCTGGTTTAAGTTTTCACTATAATAAGGATCCCTGTGGTGGATAAAAGTGATCCTCTATATAAAGGTAAGACCAGGAATAGGACCAATTAAGACCGGGACCTATGAGCATTACCTCGTTAAAACACACACACACACACACACACACACACACACACACACTTAACAGGTCGGTCGTATAGTTGAAATTAAAACCATTTATTTATTTATTTATGTTCGTAATAATTTAGTTGCTAAGATTCAATGGACAGATGAAAAAAATAGAGGCCGAGTGACGCTACGTTTTAAGCGGTACAGGAGAGGGGAAGGGGGGTAGTAGAGGAAGGGAGGGGGGAGGTAAGAGGGAGGGGGGTGTGGTAAGAAGGAAGGAGAGGGGAAAAGGAGGGATGGCAGACGAGGAGAGGAGAGCGGTAGAGGAACGGGTAAGAAGAGAAGGAGAGAGAGAGGGGGAGATAGAGGAGGGAGTAGAAAGAGAGGGAGAGAGAAGGGAGGGTATTGGGGGTAGGGGAAGGATCGGGTGAGGTGGTAGGGGTAGGGGAAGGATCGGGTGAGGTGGTAGGGGTAGGCAGCGCAGTAATGAGGAGGCAGTGCTGACCAAAACAAGACTTCCAGAAAAAAAAAACTACAGGTAATGTGTTGGCGCTAATGAACCCCTCGTTAACGGTTGATGATGTTTAGGTAAATAGTCATTGATGTTTAGCCACCACAGGTATAAAGGAAAAACAAATATGGATGTTTAGGTATACGTGTTGACCAGGTGTGTTGGTTTACCTGGATCTTCATAAACATTATTTCTCATTAAACTGGATTTAAATGATTTCCATCGTGTCCTTCTTGTGTTGGTTGATCATTTATTAAAGATTTCTTGTCATAAATTTCGTCATTTATTGAATATATTGTTAGTTTATTCATCTATTCACACTATATTGCCTTTGACCAGAGAGGCAGTTTTAGCTCTGGATGTTTCCGGGTTAAATCAAACGGAAACTAACCTTATTTCTTGAAGATTAGAAACCTTAGTTTATTTCACTTGGTGATTTAACAACCTAACTTAACTACCTATCCAAACCTATAACCTAACCAAAACTACACTCTAACCTAATCTAACCTAACCAAACCTCTCCCTACTTCCATAACTTATCAGGGACCGAGGCCGCTGTCACCTGCTGGTCGTTAGGTATACAACAGGTGTCGTCTTACCTGTCCACACACACACACACACACGCACACACACACACACACACACACACACACACACTCCCATTAATGAAGGTGAGATCGTCCATTAACCTCATAAAAACTCACCATACAGAAAAAAGTTATATAGTTTGTATATATATATATAAATCATTACTCTGTTATATAAATTCCCCTTTTTTAGTGAATTTAACCCCAGTTTTTGTGGCTTAAACCTAGAGAAATATAATTTTTTTAGGGTCGAGGCGTTGACAGTTTTAGTTGACGAAAATAACTCATTGATAAAAGACAACACGAGAGAAGTACACCTGCTGAGTCAACTCCCTTAAGTACAGGTAAAAAAAAATCGTCATGAGATTGGCAGAGGTGGAGCATAAGTTGATGTAAATTGAAGATGATAGAATTGGGGCAGCCAGGCGTTTAGAATTTCACTATGAGAGAGAGAGAGAGAGAGAGAGAGAGAGAGAGAGAGAGAGAGAGAGAGAGAGAGAGAGAGAGAGAGAGAGAGAGAGAGAGAGAGAGAGAGAGAGAGACTGGTGATAAAATTAAACGTGTTGGATTATGAATTTACTGCCAAGAGACACAACTTACACACACACACACACACACACACACACACACATACACACACACACACACACAGTATATATACAGTGTGTATGTATGTATGTATGTATTCATTAAGCCTGGCACAGTGAGGGCAGCTTTTTGAACGTATGCAAAATATTTTACTTGAAAGGCCATACAGTTACCTGTTTCAATTTACCTGGTGTGTGCCCGCGTGAGTGACCACTTACTGCAGTCATTATTCTAAAAGCCATCAGGTGATTTTTCATTCACATATGTAGTGTACTGCGCCACCCAGGGTCAGGTCATATTCCAGTTGCCTCTTACCTCTATCACCTCTGTCTGTGTGTCTGTCTATCTGTCTGTTTATTTGTCTGCCTGTCTGTCTGTCTGTTACACCAGAGGATTTATATTTTCTGTAGTTCAACATCATCTGTAATTTCTGAGATTATTCTTAAGAGTTAGAAGTGTGTGTGTGTGTGTGTGTGTGTGTGTGTGTGTGTGTGTTTTTTTATATGAGTATAGACTTGTTGTGAATTCTTGTTAAAAGTCGCTTCCTGTTGTTCCGACGTAAATTACAGTTTTAACTTGATATTCCTAACTCTTACTATTTACACGGAACCTTTGAATGTACACACACACACACACACACACACACACACACACACACACACACACACACACACACACACACACACACACACACACACACACACACACACACACACACACCGTTTCGTACACAGACCCACAAGTCGTTGCGCACACATTCAAGGCAATTAAAATTTGCATGACAACTACACACTGAACAAAGCAGAATATAAAATAACCCACAGGAGTAAGTTGAAAATATAACAAAATATTTTACAAACTGACTAACACAGACAATCCTAACTTGACCTGAGCTGAGCTGAGCCAACCTAACCAAACCTAACACAAAAAATCCTAACTTGACCTGAGCTGAGCCAACCTAACCAAACCTAACCTAACCTAACACAGACAATCCTAACTTGACCTGAGCTGAGCTAACCTAACCAAACCTAATCTAACTTAATCTAGGCAATCTTAACTTAACCTAACACCTGGCAACCCTAACCTAACCTAACTTGATCTAACCTTAGCTAACTTAGCCAAACCTAACTAAATTACTCCATGTTAACCTAACCTACTATACCCCAAATTAACCTAACCTACCTAATATAACCTAACCCAACTAACTTAATTTAACCAAACTTAACTTACGCACACACACACACACACACACACACACACACACACACACACACACACACACACACACATTTAAATTCTAACAGGTTCATCACTCAGCATTAGAACAACAACAATGGAGAAGGTACAAGTGAGACTCCTACTTTCCCTTCCTTCCCCCCTTTTCTACTCTCCTTCCTTCTCTACCCTCTCTTCTCTCCCCTACCCTCCCCTCCCCCCTCCATCCCCTCTGTTCTATCTTCCGGTTTATTCAGAGTAAAACAAAAGTGACAATGGAACCGTGACCAACCCTTCCTCCCTTCTCCTCTTCTTCCCCTCCCTCTTTCTTCCTCCTCCTTCCCTCTCTCCCCCTACCCTAGCGTGTTCATGGTGCGGCGGTTACTCGAGTACTTCCTTCCTTCCTCCCTCTTCCTCCTCCTTCTATCTCCACACACACACATTGCCTTCTCCTCCTCCTCCTCCTCTTCTTCATCTTTCCTCTATTCCTTCTATCTCCACACATATTGCTTCCTCCTCCTCTCCTCTCCCCTCCCCTGACTCCCTTACGCCACATGTGAAAAGCGAAGAATTATCAAGGTAAGATTATAAGACAGTAAGCTTTCTGACAGGTGGACGGAGTGGCAGTGACGTATGACTCATGACAGTACTATGAGTCATCACTTTTAATAAGATTCATGACAGTAACATGACTCATCACTTTTAACATGACTCATGACAATAACATGACAAATCAACACCACAACGGCTGACACTGACAACTGAACACACTCACCAGCAGCAGCGGGGGAGATGACAAGGAAGTTGAGACAGGCGGCCCCCGTGCCATGGCCCATGACAGTCACGTGGCCCGGATCACCGCCAAACCTCACGATGTTCTCCTGTACCCAGTGTAGAGCCGCGAGCTGGTCCATCAACCCGTAGTTAGCGACGGTAGGGCGGCCCACTGTGTCCACGTTGGGATTGAAGAAACCTGGAAATAAAGAACCATCGTGGTAGTGGTTTGGGTAGTTAGTAGTGGTAGTAGTTAGGGTAGTCAGTAATGGTAGTAGTTAGGGTAGGTCGTAATGGTAGTAGTTAGGGTAGTTAGTAAGGATAGTGGTAGTAGTTATGGTGGTTAGTTATGGTAATAGTGGTAGTGTGGGTAGTTAGTTATGGTAATGGTAATAGTTTAGGTAATTAATAATGGTCATGGTAGTAGTCAGAGTAGTTAGTAAAGATGACGGTAGTTAAACTTTTGTTAGTTAGTAATGGTAATAGTATAGTTAAAATAGTTATATTAAAATGCATTACTACACTTAAGATATTTTAAGACTATATAACACAAATCAACAATAAAAGACTCAACAAAAGATTATATGACGTAAGAAAGTTACTCAAAAGTTTAGGAAGAAAAAATTACAATATTTTTCTCCAATCAACAAGAAAATTATCACAGAGAAGAAAAAAAAAGGGGTAATATTTTTGGGATCGATTTTCATTTATTAATTTATTTATTTTATTTATTTTTAAGAATTGGCAACGCAAGTATAAATTTGTTTTTAGATAAATGAAGAGTTTTTGTTCCTTACGCCTCAGTAACATTGATTATCGTTCCGGTCACTGACGTCTGACCCACCGACCAGCCAGCCAGCCGCACAATACTAGTAAAATATTATTCGCTAATATTTATTTTATTTTCTGCTTCGTTTTCTAGTTTTTGTTTCTTTGTTTCCTTCCTTCTCTTTTTTTTTCTGAATGGATGGATGGATGGAAAGATGTATGTATGTATGTATGTATGTATGTATGTATGTATGTATGTATGTATGTATGTATGTCTGTATGTATGTATGTATGTAGCACAATGACCATAACAACTGCCATCATCACAACCATCACTGTAATAACCACAACTGCCATCATCACCACCACAACCACAACAATCACTACCACCACCACCATACCACCACCACCAGCCTCTAACACACACCAACGTATTCAATATTCACAAGGCAGACTATAACCTCGCCTCCACTATATTAAACGTCATGAATTTAAAACTAACCAACTTTTTTGTTAATATTTTCGAGGTTGACAATTTTGACACTGATTAATAATATCACGTGACTCAAAAACATGATATAATTCAATGTATTTCTATTTGTTAATGTTTGTTATGGATGACGTTTATTATGTAATGGTATTCGTTCATTACAAGGTTGTTAATTAAATGAAAATATTTTTATTAATATTGACAATCATAATTACGAGTTTTTCTATTTGTTTTTCTAGTTAAAGTTGTGATGTTGTCTCTTTCTTCTCTGATTGGTGAAGATGGAGGGCTATTAACCAATCATAGTTTCCTACGTCACGTCTCAAACAATATATATTTTTACTTATTTTATAACTGGATGATGTGAAAGTTTTTATTTGATTAATATATTCTAAAAAAAACCGTAAATATATTCAATATAAAATATAGACAAAAATAGTTTGTCTTTTACCAAGGAAAAATATGAGCAGTTTCAATATAAAATGACTGATATTGTAACATAATATTAAAAGCATTATAGACACAACACACTGGTTTTGTTATACTTGACCAACAACTCATATGTTTTAATAAGACTTCTACATGTTCACTGCATTTCATCTATAATATTTTTGAGGCTAATAAGTTTTAAAAAAGGTCTAACAATTTACGGACACAATGAATGACTTCTACTTTCAAGCAGTTCAGTATAAACGCTCGTAAAATATTAGTAACGTGATCATAATACTAGAGAGAGAGAGAGAGAGAGAGAGAGAGAGAGAGAGAGAGAGAGAGAGAGAGACATGTTCCACTGGTCATAGGATTTAGTATAGACGCTGAAGTGTTCGTCGGCTTGGGTAACAATCTAGTGAATGGTGAAATGTGTAGTCGAGCAATTTGGCCACGCGTTTGCTGCTACCTAAATCGACGGGCCTGGGAGAAGGGTCTGAATACGAGGTCTGGTGGTGATTAAATTTTACTTACAAGCCAGACTACGGGTCAAGGTTAGATCGGAAGGGCAAAAGGTCACGTGGCTGAGACTACAATATGAGAGGTTATACGTTAAAGCATGATGTTGTTATTGTAGATGTATAACTATGGGTGTTGTTATGTTCAGTATTTTGATAGAAGTTGTAATGAAAATTTCCCTTTATTGGTAATGAGAATCACAACAGTATAATTATGTTGTTGTAAAGGCAAATGTTGTAGGTGTTATAGCCCTTTTTAAAGACACTCTTAGTTGAGTCAATAACTTACAAATATGTTGATAAATTTATCTGTTTAACGGGAAGTAAACACACTTTGGGCTGTTTAACGAAAGGCAAACATAAATACCAATAGACAATACCAGGAAACAGGTCCAGTACTGTGTTGATATGCAGACCACACAACTATGTAGGTGATAATACTGGTGGGTAACAACACGGTGCGGCAGCTGCCTATGTATGTCAATTAATGTTAAAACTATTGTGTTCATGATTTTTTTACAACAGTTTATTGGTTTTAGAGTTGTTGTTGTTGGAACGACCCCTTCTCCCTCCCTCCCTCTCATACCCTCACTTCTAGCGCAGGGGAGGGGGGGGTGTGTGGAAAGGATCGAAGGGGGGATCAGAGGGAGTTATCGAGAGACAGAGGTGTTCCCTATGTTATGTTCTATAGCTTAAATCACTTTAAATACTCCAGAGTTGTGTTCCATATGTGTTATAGTTCCAAACACATCACCCAAGAGTTGTGTTCCATATGTGTTACAGGTTCAATCACTTTAAACCCATCTGCTCCGAATACCTTCAGCTTTTAGTAAGGGGGAGATGACTTAGTGAACAAGCCTGACAGGAGGGTTGTCTGTCTGATCTCTCCCTACGCTTTTCATTTGTTTTATTCTCTCGGGGTTGAGTTAGTGAATATTCCGGTATACCGCTATGGCTCTCTATACAATAACAACAACCATTTAAAGTGTGTGTGTGTATGTGTGTGTGTATCTGTCTGTGAGTGTGTGTGTGTGTGTGTGTGTGTGTATCTGTCTGTGTGATTCTCTAGGTAATTAAAAAATGGACGTAGAGTAAAAATCGAATATTCAGATTAAAAGAATTAGCACAAACAATATCGCCAATTACAAACACCGTAACAATGTTTGCATATACAACGACTGACGAAAAAAACACGGAGGTAACTTTTACTCCTGCCTCCCCAGCACGTGGCCACCGTGCAATATATATTTTTGTTCTTTTATTCTCGTGTCGGTAAGATGGGTTGGGCCACACCTATTCCGGAGACACGCACACAGACACAGACAGACACAGATACACACAGACAGACACAGATACACAGACAGACACAGATACGCATAGACAGACACAGACAGATACAGACAGGCACAGATACACACAGACAGACACAGATACGCATAGACAGACACAGACAGATACAGACAGGCACAGATACACACAGACAGACACATGAGACAATGTTTCTGTAGTCGTGGATGTGTTTATCTTTCTAATATGAAGGTGACGATGCTACACACACACACACACACACACACACACACACACACACACACACACACACACACACACACACACACACACACACACACACACACACACATGCGCGCGCGAAAAAAATGCATTAACAAGTGAAAAGAAAAATGCAAGTTTTAATATACAAGTCTTGTTGCCTCTCAAAATGAAAGAAATAAGTCTGGTAGTGGTATCTGGCTCGTGTGTGTGGTGTTATCCGGCTAATGGTCATGGTGTTATCCGCCTCTTGGTCAGGGTGGTAGCATCTGGCTCCTGGTCATAATGGTGGTGGTAGCATCCGGCTCCTGGTCATAATGGTGGTGGTAGCAGCTGGCTCCTGATGGTGGTGGTGGTGGTGTAATCCGGCTCCTGGTGGTGGTGTTATCCGGCTCAGTTTTCCCGCAAGTCGTCAAGTCGCCACAAGTTTGGAAGCAGTTATTAAGGTCAGAGTTTTAATGATCCCGACGGAGGTAAATTTCATGGCGGGCGTAAGGTTCGCCTGGCGTTGGTCTGGTTACTTTATTTATAAGTTTTGGCGGGGATCCAGAACTCCCTCCTGGCCCCTTCCCTTCCTTTCCTCCATTTCTCTCTTCGTCTCTCACTGCCTCTCCCCTTCTCTTCGTCCCTCTCTGCTTCACCCTTTTTTTCTCCCTATTTCTCTCCTTTCTTCCTTACTTTTCTCCCTGCTTGCCCTTTTTCCGCACTCTCCTCTCCTTTTTTACTCTCCCCATTCTCTCTTTTTCCCCGCTTGCCTCTTTTTCCCCAGTCCTCTCTCTTTTCCTTTCGTTTCCTTTCCCTTTCTCTCCCCGCCTTCCTCTTTTTTTCCGCACTTCTCTCTCTTCATTTTCCCCGCCTTTTTTTTCCCTCTGCCGCTCTGCTTTTCCCTGTCTCCTATGAGTGAGTGAGCGAGTTGGGTTGGGTTGGGTTAGGTTAGGTTATGATAAAGTTAGGTCAGAATAGGTTAGGTTCAAATAGACATTGAAATGAATTAGCACACAATCAATTACCCATAAATAAATACAATGCAAATAGATACAGAAGATATTTCAGCCTTGTATTTTTAACCAGATTTTACCTATTGGTCTACTAGAACACCTGTAACGTAATATACAAGTCAGTAATTACCTGGAATAGAAAAAAAAACTTCTATAATTCACCAATAATCAAAGAAGATAATTGCCTTAACATATTGTGTAATTATAGCGATTATTTGGTCACGATTACGACTGTTTAATTTTTCGTAATTTGACCTTAAAAATATCCCTTAAACTGACCTGACCTGACCTCATACGCCATAATTAATAATCCTATCATTATCCCCTCTATAATTATCACACACAAACAGACAGACAATCACCCACTAACCCTCATCAGAGAGTGTAATAATAACTTCATATATTTACTACTTCTGAATTCATTCATTATGATAATTATTAAAAAAAT